CGCGTTTATTCATCGAAACCTTTTAACAAACTGTGTTCAATAAAACCGATTTCTAAGTATGTAACCCTTTCCAATTGTTTCATTATACTTTCAATTAAAATCCTGCACAAAAACAACAATACGTATTAACTTTCGTTAATTCCCCTTTAAACGTTCCCTTCCAACATATTTCTATTTAAAAAAAAAATACCTCTGGAAGAAAAATTTCTCATTACCTAAAGTGATAAACCAGAATTCAATTAAAAATCTCCTCGATTTTCGTCCATTTCGATACACCATATTTTTCCGAAAGGAAAAAAAGGAAGAAAAAAACGTAGAAAATTTCTCATTTGTATCAGACACTCGTTCTCGATCGATTCTGAGATCCTTGAAACGAAACTTCCCCCGGCGATTCGATCGAGACTGAACGTCGCACTTGAACGACACAAGTCGAGGACTTGAAAATCCTTCTGGATTCGACGAGGAACGAACAACTCGACGATAGGAAAGAATAATTGGTACGCGAACGAGAAGGATTCGTTTCGCCTCTTTTACGGCTACTTAACCCTCCGCAGAGAACTCGCTATTTTAATTTATCACCGAATCCAGAGCGATTTTCTCCATTTCCATCGCCACGTCGCTCCTGTAATTCCTCCGTGTCCTGTACAAACTCATTCCGTTCACCGTACAGACGTGTGTTTTTCTGTATACATACTCATTTGCGCGAGAAAATTCGCGTTACAAAAAATCTCGCTTGATTAATCGTCGAAATTACGCGTAGCGATTTATATTTATAATTAATATCCATCGTGGTACGTAAGCGTACATCGCGCGATTCTAATTCAGGTGAAACTTCAAATTAAACTCCTTCATTCTCAGTAGATCATTTTTGGGTGGAGAAACTTTTCTTTATTTTTTTATTCGTTTTCTTTATTAAACAGCTGTTAGTTAGAATAGTTGAGCTTCTGTAATTTGGCGACTGTAAAAATATCGATGATAGAAACGGTGTAGAAAAAGATTGAGAGAAATGATAATGAGTAAACGATATTATGAGACACTTTTAGATTAATTACGATTGAGACTGAGCCACTTTTGATCGACAGCGATTTGGTTCGTGAATTGTCGAATAGTCTTTGGTAATTAACAAGTAGAATGCTATTGGGACAACAGATCGGTGAATTCGTTCGTTCTAAAATGATTTTTAATTAATAAGCTGTGTGATCGCAGGTTTTCTACTTCTGCGAGATATTTTTGAAAATTGGATGTTTCATAGCGAGGAAAAACGAAAGAAAAACACCGTTAAACGACAAAGAATCTCGTTGGAGTACACAATTCAGGCGTCAATGCTCGCTTTGTTTCCTCTTCGGCCAAGAATCCTTTCTTCTCTTAGCCTCAGATACGAGATCGAGTTATCTCACCGCAAAAACAATCAAACAAACTCTTTGTACCACAAAGACATTTTGCGTGGATTTGCCCGTAGGAGAGCACGTTCGAACGTTTCCAAAGGTTTCCGCAATGAAATTCACAATCGACGCTGTTGATATGCGTGTTTGTCGTAAAAGAGGTCCACCCTTTTTCTTCCTCGACTATCCAACAGCGTCGTATTCTTTAATTCTCTTCCGTGTATCGTAAAAGAACGGAAAAGCCACTATTATTTGTACACCGAACTGTAAATTTTTCCGAAGAATCGGAGATGCATTCCACCGTTCTCTTCTCGATTTCCTAAAGCCGAAGATTTCGATAGTTTCACGTTACGTTTCTGTGGCTTGGAGATAGTAAAAGTTTATTTCTGCGACAGTTTTGTTACAATGCTTGCTGAAAAAGTAACTTTTGTGAAAGCAAGCTTTGTCAAATTTACCATTTTGTTACAGCTGAATAATACTGTTAATTACTGTAATAGTGCTGATCTGTCATTACTACAATAGTAATGATCGGTATTGTTCAATTGGAATAAAATGGCAATTTTGACAAAATTTGCAAAAAATTTACTACTTTACTAATATTCTGTAAAATTTGTCTTGGCAAAAATTGTAACAAAAGTGTCACAGAAATAAAATTTTATTACTAATCTACTAATTAATGCTCTGCCATTTTTTTTTGAAAGCCTAAAGTATATTCCGATCACTTCAAATCTTACGAATTCCCATTTTTCAATTTTCCAAATATTTCAATTTAATAATTTCGATCATATTTGCCAATTTTTTGCAAGTCTAAAATATATTCATATCCTCTCAATTCACCAAATATTTCAATTTAGCAATTTCGACCAAATTTGCAATTTTTTTGCAAGCCTAAAATATATTCGTATCCCTTCAATTCTTACGAACGATTCTTTCTCAATTCGCCAAATATTTAAATTTAGCAATTTCGACCATGTTTGCCATTTTTTTGCAAGCCTAAAATATATTCGTATCCCTTCAATTCTTACAAACATTTTTTTCTCAATTCACCAAATATTTCAATTTAGCAATTTCGACCAAATTTGCAATTTTTTTGCAAGTCTAAAATATATTCGTATCCCTTCAATTCTTACGAACGATTTTTTCTCAATTCGCCAAATATTTCAATTTAAGAATTTCGACCATATTTGCCATTTATTTGCAAGTCCAAAATACAAGTTCTCACGAGCCCTCTTTTCTCAATTCACCAAATACCTCGACGAGCTAAGAAACAGATAAAAGTAACATGTGTATCATTCCACGGAGTTACCTAAATTCGTCTTTCGTTCCCTTTCAAGTCCTCCTCGAATATCGACGAGAATCTCGCGTTGTTACATCGGCGGAGCATCTGCAACGGGAAATGCATCTCGTTCAAGGAACACACAACGAAAAGTGAAATTTGATTTGCCCGAGAATCCACGGGTCTTACTAGAAAACGGCGGCGTGTTATCGTGGATTCGTTGTAATATCAGAATTTTTCCTTTTCGTTCAACCTACGAGAGCATTCGCGAGAGAATCTCTTGTCAATATTGGCTTGCGTTACAAAATAATGCCAGCAGCGTCTTCTTTGTTGTAGTTGAAAGCCCTATAGCTGGACAAAAGGAAAGAAAATGAGCGTGTGCTCGCATGAAATTCCACCGTCTTTACCTGTTTTCACATTCCTCATACGCCTTCCAGATTTACAGCGTACGCCGAGAAACGGGGAAAACCGGTTAATTGAATTTTTAACAATCACCGGACTTTCACGATATTTGCGAAGGTTGAAGAAATATAACAACGAGTTAGAAAATATTATTGCGTTGAAGTGAGATTTCTTAGCTTAAATTCCACCTTTTTACTCGATATTTTTGATCCCGTTGATTCAGAGTCAGTCAATTACTCAAAATTACCATCCTTTCAAGACCTAAGCGACAAAAGGAATTTCGATAATTCTGTATTGTCCTATGACAATCTGTGTGTCCCATTCATAATATTGCTTTGTTACTTTCTATTATTACAGTTATTTCTTTTTTCAAAATATATAATCATAATTATTTTCCAAAAATGTTAAGAAAACTCTGATCAATTCGCAAGGTTAGAAAACTGTGAAAAATTCAATTCTCAATAAATACTCGAACCGACCACGAAAATACAGAAAAAAATTTGTCGAATAATTTCGGTACACCGAAAATCTGACTTTTCCTTTTTCCCCCAGAAAACAGAAGACACAACCTCTCGCAGGAAATTTGCACAGCCATGAAAAAGAAAAAGAAATTCATCAGCACACCATTTACCAACGAACGAATTTCAGCCGGTCGAAACGATCGCGTTCGTCTTCGCAATTGCAATATACATAATCGTCCCTACTAATCCGCACACTTACACACCGAACTATCATATTCGAGCACACACGTTCACACGCAATATTATCCTTGTTCATTGTTGAATCGCCATTTACAACACACCATGTACAACGTTATCTCGATACTTCATTTTTTTTTGGATTACTTCGACGACACTAGAACGCAGTAATAATCTGCAAGTTATTACACATATCGAACCTGGGATACTACGACGACGTTCTCGACAGAGTGTCCGTTTTCCTTTTATCGGACGCACTGTGAAAGTCGCGATTTCCACGTGAAACCGGCTGCGACAGAGTTCCTTCATCGTTGATCTCCCTCTTTTCTTTCTCTCCGCACCGAAAAATCGTGGTGTCGAAAGGAACGAAAAAGCACGATCAGAGAGACAGTTATTCCCTCGTTTGCTTCGTCTCTGTCGCGGTGGAAAAGAAAAAAATTGAAATCGGAAGAAGCTTTCCCTTTCGTTGTTATGTGAAATCAACGTCTCGTTCGAAATGTTCCTCGGAACAACTCAATTTTGCGTCGAAAATTCTGTGAGTTGGATTTTCATATTAGAATTGAACGAAAGTTACCCGAATTCACGGGGAGAATTAGATAGATCTACTATTTCAACAGTTGCATAGAAATTTGCGATTAAGGGTAAAGATTTCTTGAGCAGCAATGTGGTTCAGTGTACTTATCAATTCGTTATACTTTTACAATATTATCTCTTACATATTAATTACTTTATTACTGTACTTTCTATTAGACGAAAGAGTCCGCGAAATTTCCCTCCAATGAATCCAACTCCGAAACGAAATCGTAACCGCTGTCTCGAAATAGTCTTTTGAATCAGAAAGTACAACAGAAGAATACTGAAAGAAAACAAATTTCAGAAAATCAGATAACGTAAAACCAACTCACCAGACAGCCTTGTTCGTGAAACGTCGAAAACGCAAGCGGCGCAAGGAAGCTTCTTAATCGATGATCCTTCCGCTGCATACACGGTCGTCAATTAAATTTCGATCAAGGTACAAACAGGATAGTGGGTGTCCTACGTCTTATCGTGTCCAACGATCCATCGAGTTTCACTTTAATTCTCGGCATAAGATTCATCATGTTCGCGGAAACTCGCATGTGCACACCTTCCTCCATACACTCTCCGACGTTCATACACACGCACAGGCATACGTACACGTACGTTACAGAGCACACACAAACATGTTGGGGCCACACGCGCAAACACGTACGAGAACACACATTATCTCAATTGACCCAAAAAGAAAGCGAGCATTACGAGGACTGTCTTCGATGTTGGCGAGCCTGCTGCCGTGTTCCCGTGCTGCATTGCAGCTGGATGCTCTTCTGGAACAAGAACAACAAACGTCGGATTAGTGTCTGTCCTGCACTTCCGGTTTCCAACCGGAACACTTCGCTTAGGCGAGGACGAAAGGGGATAGCTTTTCTTTTCTGGTTCTCCCTTTTTTCTCTCTCGCTGTTTCTCCTTTACCTTGGTTCCGGTGTTGCGCCCGGAGGGCTGATTAATTGATAAATCGCAAGAAGCGAGGGTTTTGGGGATGTGGTTGTTTTGGTTCGTTGTGAAATATTTGGAAGCGGAGAATTTTCTTGGTAAATATAGACAATTTTAGTTGAATATATTTTTGTTAATTTAATACCGATTTTTAGTGGATATTTGGCAAAGGAATACGTGTGTTTAAAGTATTCTTTAAAGTGGTTTATTGTTAACCCTTTCGTTACTATGGGCGATTGAAACCTGAGTACTCCGAGTACCGAGAACGTGTGAGTTATTATCAGAAAAGTATTGTCAAACATTGGGAAGTTTAAAAAAATGAAATTTTAAAGCTCTGACTGTTTAATTGTACGCACGGTAATTCGTAAGTATTAAGACACCCGTTATCTTCGTGCAGAAAGTGTCATATGATTTAAATTACATTTTCCCGCCAAAATTAGCGTCCGATATTAGTAACAATATACATGGGTATTCGTTACACTTCAAGATTCAAGAATGAATAATTTCTTTTTAGGATTTCAATAATTTCACAATGACTCTTGTGAGTCAAATAATTTTCTATCAAACTTGCAACGACAAACAGGCTCGCTTCACATTCAGTGCGCACGAGATTTCGTTTGATTAATTACGAAACCCGCCTGACTCCCCAGAAAAGGGATAAAAGTAATTTTCAAGTTTCGTTTAAGCATTTACGGCAGCATCGAGCGAAAACCACACATGTTGGAGAAATAATCACCCGGGAAACATCTATTCTGAATATGTCAGAAACATCCAACCCGAGTAATCAAGCGAGGGATGAAATCGAACTTCTTCCAACGGCCACGTCGTATCTTTCTAACGATCGCGATAAACGATGCTCGACTTCGAAAGTTAACGAATAAAAAGAGAAGGGACTATTTTTTAAATTATAATACTATAAAATGCTAATAATATATTACATTATATCGTGTAATATCTAAGTTTACTATAGCAGCTACGATATAACTAATTTTCCAACAGAAAAATACCATTCTTACATCGCCTTTTCTTTCCACGTTCGCCATATGTTCACTTTGAAGATTAAACCGTGACTGATTAGGAAGTTTCAGAGGCGATTTAGAGCTCACTGTGGACCATTAACGGCGATTTTTGATTTTCAGGAAAAAGCCGGCTGACTGTTTTCTGATTGGCGTGGAACTTTAGCTTAGCAAGAACAGGATAACCGTTCTCATTAAATAGGTCACACTTTAGGGTATAAGAAACCGCGAGGTAATGCACAAAAACATTCTCCGCGCTTCTTCCAAATGGTCCCGAGGGTCGTAAACTCATGAAACATAAACAGCTTGCTACTGGCTTAAATGGACAAACTTTGGAAACACGCGGAGATACTCAAAATACGAACGAAATTTGCGGGAACATAAAGTCGCGGTCGCTTCATTACTAATATATTGTCGTGCCGTTCCGAAAAGTATTTCACATCAATTTTTATACCGACGTACAATCGGAAACTTTACTCGTCGTTTTTTATAATCGCCCGATAAGTGAGCAATTTCTTTTAATTATTTTCTTTGCGTATTACGTTATGCTTTAATCGGTGCAATTTTTTTGAATTATTTTCTTTGCATAGTAGGTTGTCCTTTAATCGGTGCAATTTTTCACTTTCAATATTACGCTATCCTCTCTATTATGGCTAAAACGTAAGTTGCAGCATTGTAAATAACAGCAAACTTATTTTTACACGCCTGGAAATTAAATTAAAAAAAAAAAAGAAAAAACAAAATTGATAATTTTTGTCACATCGAGTTGAGAAAAATGTGATCGTTAAAGGGTTAAATACCAAAATTTTCAGATATATTAAATATTACAAGATACCTAAGTGTACATTTTTAAATACCCACGATTTTTAAGTAATTTGTTGATTTTCAATTGATCGAAGAGACCAAGAGAATTTTAAATTACTCAAAGAGATCAGGGGAAAATTAATTCTCAATTAATCGAAGAGACCAGGAGAAAATTAATTCTGAACCAAGGAAACGGTAGAAATTTCACAATACACCAGAAAGGAGCCAATAAACAACGACTCAGACGGCTAAAACGAGGCTGCATATATCAGAACAAGAGGACGACAATGTGATAGAAGACATTCTCGACTACAATCGCATTCTTGATTGATTTCTCGCTAATAACTGCAAGCTAGAGCGACGTTCGTTGACGGGATAAGCCAGAGAATTACTGCTATCGGCTACAGGAGAACCATGATGTATACCAGATTAGATGTCCATTTCGTATAGGCAATTAGATAGTAATTGCATCCAGCAGGCTTCAATGTGCTCTACAGATGAATCGAGCGCGTTGCTTCCGCTATGAAAAATCCTATTCAACCCCTGGCGCGGTTCAATATACACTACCGGCCAAAAGTTTGGAATCACTGAGCACTGCAATTGACACAAAAATTTCCAGAAAAAAGTCAGCGACTATGAGAATTTTTTATCGTTCGAATCAATTGACATGAGATACATTGATAAATGTAGAATTGAGATAAACTTCAAATCTATAAAAAATTAGCAGCAGGTTTAATATTGACGAGAAGTGGGAGGTGATTTCAAACCTTTTGCTGGTAGTGTATACTGAATTATTTACCGAATAAATTGGACTAATTTTGTTAAAAATTAGTAATGAAATAATCCCAACGAATCCTCAAATCTACATTTCCACGATTACCATCTTCGCTCTATCGTTTCTCCAATTCTACCATAATTCTTCCAAGAAGTATATCTTTCAACCTCAATTTCGTTTCACAGTGAGAGAGCAATACTATTCTCCTCAAAGCTTCTCAGTTTATGACGCGAGCGCTAAACGAAGCTATTTCACAGTTTAAAGATCTTCAGCTCATCGTTAGCAGTGTTGATTGCTCCGAGTTTTAACAGTTCACTCTTCTCACCTTCCATAATGTGAAGACGTGTTATAAATCTACGGACTTGGTGTAAAAAAGAGGTAACTAATACAATTGCTGAACTTATTCGTCGAAACTGAAAATTCAACATGTAAATCGTTCTTCATTAATCAGGCAAAAATAATATTTATCCACTGACAGTGAGCAAAATTTTGGTGTCACTATCTTATCTTTGTCAATTTTTCCAGCAATAGCTAATTAATTTGAATTCAAAATAAAAAATTTTCTTAAAATAATTATTGGAAGATCCTTCGATCCTTTATAAGTGGAATCTAGAAATACTGAAACAATAAATATTTAATAATATCCTGACTATAAATTATGAATATTCTCAAATGTCTAACTACTTTTCAATAATTATATGGATAGTTACTTTTATCTTTGATAAAATGAAAAGGATGCACCAGCAAGTGAAACGCAACTTCACTAATTTTAATTAGACGTGTATTACAATTTGTATCAACCCGACTAGAAATTTCTGTTAGGCAGATATTAGGTCCGTTTTAGGCTAGCCTAATTTGCCTGTTAGGCCCGCATGCGGTATGTAACGCGGAATATTCACGACCGCCTAATTGGAAAAGCCGCGTTAGGGCCGCATTAGGCCCACATTAGAATAGCTTTATTAGGCTGTCAGTGGGAGACATTAATGAAATCCCACGAGGAATACCGTAAAAACTTTTATCTTGTTGAAAGCTCTCACGCAAGCGTACGTCCGACACTGAGATGTCTGTAAATATTCCTACGTATAAGTTTGAGAGCCCCACTCCACCTAACTTAGGTGTGCTCTCGGCCATCCCCATTCCAGCCACGTATGGCAACTGTTAGGAATGCCCAACCTAAGCGTGCGCTCGGCCACCCGTATTTGGGCCACGTATGGCACTGTTAGGAATGCCTAACTTAGGCGTGCGCTCGGCCATCCCCATTTGGGCCACGTATGGCAACTGTTAGGAATGCCCAACTTAGGCGTGCATTATTCCTTCCGAATTAGGACCTAATGCGGTAACGATTAGGCTTGCAGCATTTAAGTATGCCTAATCGTTTCCACATTAGGCCCACATTCGTCTTTAGGCATGTCTAACTGAAATTCTAGTCTGGAAAATTATTAGCATATTTCTGAAGCACTTTGTAATACAAAAGTGCCAAACAACACCTGAAAAATCCCCCCCAAATAGAAGCAAAAAATCTAGAACACATTAAAAAGTCCAATTTTATCCGAAATGACCAGTTACACTAGTTCCAGCGGAACGAGAAAAACCGAGAAACAAAGGTTTGTTAATATCTGCATAGCTCGCGGAATCGCGTCCGATTGCGTCCACTCTCTGTCCTCTAATGGACGCGAAAAATCTCTCTAACCATCGCGCATCCATCGTTGATAATAGAATATTTAATGATTCCGGCAAGCCAGGGAAATCGCGCGTCGACTACTACGTGAGTCCCGTACCGAATGCTTTTAATTATCGACGGTTAACTAATTATATTTTGGACGGTGCGCGTATAGTCCGTAACGATCTACATTCCCAGCACGAGTATTCCGGCTGGAAGCGTCGAATTACTCGTACTATGTCTGCCCGACGCAATTCCATAATTGACCGTCTAATCGATGCTCTAATTCCTGTTCTGTCGTGACGCTTTAGAGGGGGACCATCGCCCTACGCAATTGACGGCCTGCCTGATAAACGTCGCGCGTCTTAATTCCCAGCGAGAAAGGGAATTGACGTCGCTGATGAGAGATCACGTTCTGCCACCCACCCGATATCGTGAGCAGAGGAGCCGGCACAGATTGAAGAGGGAATCTGAGATCACAGAGCTATCAAAAACGTGTTAGCCGGAGAAAATTAGGACACAGCGAAGAGTAGTGATCGGTCGAGGAAGCTGAAGTGAAATTACTTGGATCATTTTTGT